ATCATTAATATCATCAAAATACTTTGATATCATCATTATTGAATTCTATCATAATTTCATTCTTTATTATTTTATTTCTTAATTTTAAGATTTGAAGTTGTCACACTAATATATTTGAATATATTCATTATTTTTCATTTCTATGAATAACAGTACTATTAATAAATAACAACATTGTGTAATGTTTTAAAAAAGAGTGAATGGTAATGGAAATTCAATGAATTTTAGTGTTATAGTTATGTTAATTTCATAATCTACATTTTCTTTAAAATTTATTATTTTATCAACTTTTATTATATTTATTGTGAATTTATGAGTGTGTTACTTGTTATTAGTTTAATTATCTATTTCATTATTAACTCAAATGCATATCTTTAATACTAATTTATTATGTTTTTGACTGTAATTGTATTTTGTTCAATGAAGTTGTTTGCTGAATGATTTTCAAATAAATTCTTGATTCTCTTATTAATTGTTTGTTGTATAATTATGATGTTTAGATGAACAAATACCAAATCAAATAGAAAGAATAATGGAGATAAATTGATATTCTTATTCATTGCTTTCTATTTTTTTATTAGATGACATTCTTATGTTTCATTATCCTATTATTATAATAATAGATTATGTTCATTTTTAAGACTCCTAATAGAGACAAGTAATAAGACAAGTAATTTTGAAACATCATAGTAAAAGAATAAGACAAATAAATAAAAGAAAAGTATGCATAAAATCTTTATATAACAAGCAAGTAACTTTTGATTTAGTTTATTTTCGCTTATTCATTTTAATTTAAATAGTATTTATATAAATCAAATGAAATAATAGTTAAAATCAATTTTAAAATGATAATTATAGTCATTAAAATAAATTCCATTCTCTTTTATCCAAATTACATAATATTTTAATATTGACCAAGTTTTATTATGTTTGTTTTTTATTTGATACTTTTATTAATTTCTTATAATTTATATATTGGGTATATGAACAGAACTATGACCCACATACTCTATACTCACTAGAAGAGTTTTTTTGAAATAAATAACCTATATCAAACTTATTTTTTTTTTGATAAAATGCTTATTTTTATAAATCCTTCCTTGAAAAAGTTGATAATTTTTATATATTTTAATTTATTTAACTCAAATAAATAAACAATAAGAAATACGATAAATTAAAAGTCATTTATTTTTCTTTGAACCAAATGTTTCTTGTTCAAAATTAAAAATAATATAAGAAGTAATAATAGCAATAAACAAAAAATACGATACTACCGAAATGGACTTTAAAAAATATATTTTTGGTGAAGAAAATTCTTTAAAATGTGCAATTAACAAGTCAATTATACAATAATTAAAGTATTAAAAAACTGAATCAAATAAACTATCATCAAGACATTCTTCTTCACTTTCATTACTTTCAAATATACAATTATCATAATAACATGAATTAACTGAATCAAATGGTACTGGCTGTGTTGAACGAGGAGGAACTGGAAGACTTTCTTCATCAATAAGATGTTCAGAAGGAGAATTACCAGTAGAAGCTCTACAAAAATAAGTACTTTTATTACTCTATTTCTTTTTATCAATCAAAAAACAAACGAAAACGAATAATTAGCAGATGGACGTACTACAATAGGAACAAAAAATTGACATGATGGATTCATTCGATGAAATAAAGAGTAATTTTTCCGATATGTGAATTTATAGTTCCATCTGTAAAAAAAGTAATTCTGAGATGTGATATTTTTAGTATGACTCCTTTATTCAAAACTTCTATAACATTCTTTGTCTTTTTCTTTTTTATCATTTCCTTTTCTTGAAATTAGATTTATTTTATTCAATCTAGTAAGTTAGTTTTTTTTTTAAAAAAGAATGACTTCGTTAAACCATTTGAAAGAAAATAAAAAAGTAAATGGCATTATAAACATAATTATAACACATTAAATTTTTTTTTCTAAAAATATGATGATGTGGTAGCCACAAAAATGATTTTAATGAAAAATTTAATTCCTATTCTCAGATGGTAACGATTTTTCTATGGATTTTTCTCCAGTTTATAATTTCGTATTTTACTGCAATTCTTTTTTTTGACTTTTCCAGTTGCGTTCTAGATCTACAGAATAAAAATATTCATTTAAAAAAAGTACTAATGATAAAATCATAAATGATACTATTTCCAAATGTATTTTTCTTTTACATTATTTTTATTCAAAAACTATTTATTTATTTTATCAACTCAAATTTTTTTGATATTTATAAAACTAACCAGCGTAAATTCCTTGATACAATTTATAGAACAAAATTTTAAATATTCAAACACAAAATAACAAAATTTTAACTAAATAAATAACAATTAATTATTTAAATGTTAATAGAATTTTCATCTATTCTTCTAACTCAGAAGAGACTAATACCATCCTTTCGCTTTTTTTTTAAAGGGTAGTTTCTTTGTTTAACATATTCTTTAGGTTTTTTCTAGGAATATGAGAAAAGCAATTCTTTGTTTTATTTATTTCTACTAAAGTATTCCCAAACTTCATCTGCTTATTTTTTCTTTTTAATCTTCTTGTTTGACGTTTATTTAAATTTTAAATAAATTTCTTTTTCCTTTTTTCTTTATTTTATGAAAGAGAGTAGAAAGCATTTCATTATCACCTTATTATTATGACTAATTTCTTTTTATTCCTAACATCACCTTAGCAAATCCTTTTCCTTGGATAACATATATTTCTTAGTTTCTTTATTAATAAATATTAAGCCTTATAGTACAATAAGTATTATTCAACCATAATAATTTCCTACACCATTTGCAGCATTAACTCATGCATTTCTAATTCAAATACACTGTCATAACCAGATAATAACAGGGAGAGTCGAAGTTTGAAATTGTATTAATGTTTGTGTGGTGTTTCAGATATGCCATCTTTGATATTAAAGAATAAAATTTTAAATAAACAAAATACAAATTATCAATAACATTTTATATTTAGTTTTTAAAAAACATAAATGAAAAAACAATAAAAAAGAACAAGTAATTAAGTCATAAAAAAAATCAGACAACGTCAATTAGATCATCATGTTCTTTGGAACAACGGTCTTAAGGAATCCGTCCTTTTGGAATTGTCTATTAAGTGAGTGATCAGAAATACCATCCTTTCTGACACTTCCTTTAACAGTGTAAACAGTTGACTCTGGTAAAATAACACCATTTTCATTAACGTGTGGAATTAAAATTTGAACAGCGGCATGATCATCGGCAGCGATCAAAGTATGAGTAACGGAACTACAAAGTTAATACTCTTATTATTTTAATAAACAAAGTTATAAGTTATAAACAAACCAGTGTCTTGGGATATAGAGTTCAATCTTTTTGTTGCTAGCCATGGACGTTGACAACTGATTTGATTAGATCTGGGGGTTTATAAGAAATACTAGGTTTTTTTATTTCTTTTCTTTTTAACTTTCTAATAGTTCTTTTTCTATAAACCTAATTTTTTTTCATTTTAACTATATTTTAATTTATAAATTAATAATAATAAAACAATGTTTCTTTATACTTACAAATTAACAAAAGACCGTTATAATGAAAATTATATTTTATAATTCAAAAAAGAAAGAATATCAAATATAACAAAGCCAGAATGAATTTAATAATCAAAACTTCTTGAAAGAACTTCCTTACAAGTTGGCTTAAGATAAATGGTATGCTCAAATTGTGCAACATAACTTCCATGACAATCTGATAATGGTGGATATGCATTAACACATCCATCATCAACAAGGAATTTAAATGGCATTTGCCATTTAGCAAATCCAATTTTGTCAACATATCTTCTACAAAAAGCTAATGTCTTGAAATTAGCATCAAGAGCATGAAGTAATCTCTTTGCATTTCCGTCTCTAACTGGATAATCAAATGCATTAGCATCAACCATATAATGAGAGGCAGGTCCTGAATCATCAACACGTCCTCTTCCAGTAGTAGCGAATGTTTCAAGAGCATAAACTTCACCTTCTTCCATTTTAGTTTGAGGTCCACCTTTACAAATTGGAATAGATTTACCAGCATGAACTGCATATGAACCAACCATATGTCCAGAAAGGTTTCTAACTGGTTGTAATTGATAAGTTTTTCCTTTAATTTCAACTTCGTAACTACTCATAACTTCTTCAATAGCATCACCAATATCACATAATCTAACATCAACACCAATATTTTTAATACCTGTATTAGTAGCATCTTTAGAGCAATCAAGAATTGGTTGTAAAGCTGGATCCCAAGTCATGGTAAAAGCTGAATCAATTAAATGACCATTAACATGTACTCCAAAATCAATTTTAACAACATCATCAGTTTTATAGAATGATAATGGATCATTTGGATTTGGTGTGAAATGTGCTGCACATGAATTTACAGAAAGACCACAAGGAAAAGCCATACCTCGTTCTGTAGTATTTACTCCATCAACTTCACATTCTTCTCTAACTTTTCTCTCAATATTTTCTGCAACAAAAAGATCTGACATTCCTGGTTTAATCCATTGTTGAGCCCATTGTCTAACACTTTTATGAATTGCTGCAGCTTTTCTATAATCTTCAATATCAATTAATGCTCTTTCACGTTCTCTAGCTTCAGCACTTGTGAATCTTTGTAAGTTCCATTCTTGTGTATATTGCATATTTTCTCCTTCTGGGAAACATTTTTCCTCTTTATACATAGTAGATAAAGTTTCAGTTGGTTCTTTAATTTCAGGTGGAATTACTGATGGATCAACTGGTGCAGCTGGTGTATTTGGTTTAACACTTGAAGTTGCTGGTTTTTTATTAGCTTTTGAACCGGATTTTTTAGACTTAGAAGTTTTTGAATGTGGTTTTCCAGTAGCTTGCATTATTAATTGTTTTGAAAATGAACAAATTTAAAGATTGAAAGGGTTGAAGTACTTCATCGAATTTGATTTTTTGTGATTTGATTTGTTAAAAAGATACCAGTCATTGCCATTTGTAAAGACGTGGATTATTTTGTTATTTATTCAAAGAATGAAAGTTCATTTATTGATATTTTATGACTTTATTTTAATATATTGGCACCCAATATTTATTAAATTTGGACCAAACCAAAGGATAAGTCAGATAACTTCTATTCCTTCAAAAAGAATTGAAAATAAAATTAATTAACTGTATCAACACTTTCTGGAAGTTTTTGATATTCAAATGAATCTTCTATCCCTTTAATTTCTTTAAGTTCTAATTCCCTTTCTTTACGATCAACAATTGGTGGAAGTGAAGCAACAAATGCAAATGTACTCATTAACACATAAAGACAAATTCCTAAATGGAAAAACCCATTTTGGTCCCAATCTTCAAACCGAAAGTTAGTAGCTTCAAATATAAAAGCTCCAAGTGCTACAAAATCAGCAATAAGATGAAGAACATATCCTGAATTACGAGTAAATATAAAAACAAGTTGAGTAATTCCCATAATAAAACCAAAGAGAATAGCATATGATCCAATATAAAGGAATGTATCATATTTCCAACAAGCAATAAGATGAATATAAGCTAAAATAATTAAAAAAGGTGTCATCCAAAGACATGTCTTTTTATTACAATCCCAGAATGCTTGAAAAAATCTAAACATTAAAGCTACTAATAAAAAAACATAAAGACAATACCAAAGTCCTCCAATAATTCCACCTGGTATTTTTAATCCATGAACAATAAATCCTAATGTTGCTCCAATAGAAAGTGTTATATCAAAACACATCATCCATATTTTATTAATTAAATTATGTGAACCACGTGTTTTTGAAAATATTAGTACTATAAAAGAAAGAATACAAAGACATGCAATGAGAAGATTAGTAAATCCAGTCACTCGTTCATTTGGACTATAATTTAATTCAATTTGATGATTTTCAATTAGATCAAAAAACCCTTTAAATGCGAAATGAATTTTTTTACACTTTGTTCCTATAAATTTAAAGGGGTTAATAGAAAGTTTAAGTACAGTTAAGATACCTTCACCAATTTTTTGCATCTGAAACTATTATTTTAAAAAAAATCATAGAAACAAGGTTTATTTTGGTACTTCAAAAATTGTTTATTGATTTATACTAAGAAAAATTAATTAATTGTATTGTTAATGTTTTTTTTTCTTTAATTAAATATTTCTTATCAAAATAAATAATTAATAACTAAAAGAATGTGATAAAATAATTGAATCAACCATTAACTTCTTCAATCAAATTTCATTTTTCTTTTTTTTGAAGATGACAAAGAGATTGTACTAAATGAAATTGTATTCACTAATACATAAAGTGAAACTCCAAGATGGAAAAACCCATTTTTATCCCAATTTCCATATCTAATAGAAGTTATTTGAACAATAACAGATATAAGTCCAATTAAGTCACTAAAAGAATAAAGAATATATTTACTACTACGAGTACAGGTATGAATTAAATGTATGAATCCCATAGACAATCCGAAAAAGAGAACATAAACTCCAATAAAAAGGAATTTGTCATAATACCAACAAGCAATAATATCAAAATAGCCAAAAACTATTAACTCTGGTAACATTAACATAAATACAGTTACACTACATTCCCAAAATACTTGGAAAAATCTTAACATCAAAGCTATAATTAAAAATATGTAAAGGCAATACCAAAGCCCTTCAAGAATATCTGAAGGAATAGCTAATGCATGAACAATAAAACCGAAAAACGCCCCTACAGATAAAGCAAAATTAAAAATAATCATCCAAAATTTATTCATTGATTGATAAACTCCACGTGCCTTCTTATATGATAATATTATTAATGAAAAAATACAAACACCTACAATAAGAAGGTTAGTATATCCTGTGACTCTTTCATTACCTTTAGAATTTAATTCAAATGCTTGGTTTTTAACCATATTATAAAACCCACCAACAGAATATACAATCTTTTGATATTTTGCTTCAAAAAAGTCTTCAGGTTCTAATCCAATAGAAATAACCTTTAAGATACCCTCTTTGATAACCTGCATCTAAAAATTTTCATCTTAAAAAGTGGATATGTTCTATTTGATTCTAAAATTAAAGTATTATGATTTATATTATTTTCTATTATTTTTGATTTTCATTTTATAGTAATGGAATTATAAATAATTTTGTTATTTAAATATAATTAAAAATAATAAAAAATAATATTGACTTACAATTTACGAAGAGATATAAATAATAGGACAAAATAAATAAATTTTGTATATTGAGAAAGACTAATAACATATATAAAGTCTATTTAGTACATAGACTAAAATATTTATTGATTATTCTATAAAAATATAATATATTTTTATCAATTTTTCAAAGTAATTGAAAAAGTTGTTTGTATATCTACAACCATAAAAAATTGTAGAACAACTACATTAATCTTTCAATGATTAGGTTTTAGTTTTTCTTTTAAACTAAATTATTTTTATTTTATTTAACTCAAAGCTTCGCTTGAGAATTGAATGTTTCAAGATTCTAGTATAAGACTGATTTTTTTAATGAGTGAATTGTAATTTAAATATTTACGAATAAAATTTTTTAATTTTTACTGTAAATGTCATAAAAATAAAAGAAATACAAACCAAGGTATGAATGAAGTAAAGAATGAAGAATATGTAATTATTTAGTTATAATTAATTATTTAATTACTTGTAAGATATCGAATAAGAGGAGTAATATCAATTTTTTTTTTGAGAAATTATTCTACAATTAGGAAAAAAAATAAAGGAAATGTAGATTATTTATAACATAGAGAAACAAGAATTTTGGTTTTTCATAAAAAAAAAATACTTCAAATAATTAAATAATGTTTAACAAGAATTTTACAGAAAAGAAAAATGGTTCACAAAATTTATTAGAGATGAGAAAATAATAAAGAAAGTTCTACTAATTTTAGGGGTTATATATTATTTAGAATTGAATTACTTTAAATTAAAATCTAAAGTTGTATTATTTTTATTTTTACTGAAAAATTGCATTAAATTCGTGTCTTGTATGTTTTAAAAACATCAGTTTTAAAAATAAAATGTAAATATTGGTATGAATAAGCAAAAAGAAAGTCTAAAAAAAACAAAAGAACAAAAGATATCGAAAAAACAATAAAATAAAACACTTATTCGAAAGATGATGTTGATTCTTTTTTATTTAAAAATATTGAAAGAATAAATCATTGAATATTCCACTTGGTTCTTTTGAAATGTTCTAAACAAAAAATAATTTGGATATATATAGTATCTGGTTGAGATAAATATTCCATTCATGGCGTTATAATATAAACCCTGAGTCATAGATCTGACCTCATTTGTTAATTCATTCATGGATTCAGTTCAGATGCAATCTTCAAATAATGATTTTAGTATATCTCAAGATGAAAAGTCAACAAATTGCCAGAAGTCTCATGGGTCTGAAAGAAAAAAGTTTAAAAAGGATGAAGCAAAATATACTCTTAAAAAGAGAGAAATGAAGAACCTTGAAAGTTACCAACAAGCAGCATTACTTTGTTTAATGAATTCTAAGTGTTCTTTTTCATTAGAACATCCAGGAAAACAATCAAAAGTTACAGTTACTATGCCACGCTTAGTTAGTCTTTATATAGATAAACAAGAAATAGAAGTTGCAAAACTTGCAGATACTCAAAGTCAATTAATTATGAAGAAAGAGGTTGCAGGAGGAGTTAGCCAAACTACCTCAACAAGAAGGTATGAAAAGAATAAGAGAATATTTACACAGAACTTTCTATTCGATCTTTGTCTAGAATATGGGTTTTGGTTTGAATCAAAACCATCTAGAAAATCTAAAAAATCACATCAAATGGAGAGAATTACTCGTATATATTATAAAGATACATATTTAATGAATCAAACAAAAATGATGGAACTTGGAAAAGCTGTAAATTCTTTTTTGTTTAGTAATATTATAAATGATAAACGAGTAACTATTAACCAAAACAATATTAAATTATCTGATATAAAGAAGTCATTTGGATTGACTGATACATTGTTCATGTAATTAATTTGTTAATTTATTTTTTATAAACCTGAACTATTCTTCTAATTTAATCTAAAAATGAAAAATAGGAGATAAAATTTCCTCTTTATGAGAAGTTTTCGATTCTTTCTTAAAAATAGATTATTATTTACTTATTTACAGTACAATTAAATTGTTATTTATTGAGTTATTTTAATATTGAACCAAAAATTTATCATTTATAGTTGGTAATAAACATTTTAATGTTATTTATAATGTCTTTAATATATCATCACTTTTACTATTTCTTATTCATATATTTCATTTATTAACTGATTTGTTTCTCTAATAATATGAAAATTAATTTATGTAAATTATTTATTTAAAAGTATAACTATTAAAATGATGGAAAATGGTTATTTAATACGATTTTATTGTTTTGACATATTTAAAACATTTTTAATAAGTATTTATTTAAAAATATTAATATAAAGTAAATGATTTGTTCATTATTAAAACTAAAACATTATTTTTGTTAGAGTAATTGTGAGTTATGGGAAAAAAAGATAGCAAGTGATAAAAATGGTTTAATTAATAATATTATAAATGAGTCTTGTTTTTATTAAATCAGCAATAAAACCAAACAGTTAAAAAAATAAATGAAAGAGTATTAAATATAGAATTTGTATGCCTTTTTATTTTTTGTTTGTCATTATCAAAACTTTGTTGATTTAAAATAGAAAGAAATCAAAACAAATAAAAGGGGTATTGTTAATTGATTACTCTGCATCTTCAATAAGATTTTATTTTAATTTGACCACACCCTTATCATTTATCTTTTTATAAAGTTTCTTCACTTTCTAATATTTGAAATAGATACAAGCCTATTTCTACAGCACAAAAAATGTAATAAACATCACATAGAAATAATTATGCATAAACACATTGATTTGGATGATATTACTATTAATATAGACATAACCATTATCAACAAAACAATAGTCATAACCACTTTATTTCATTTTATCATATTTAAAAACATTATAACCAATTCTCATTTCAACACACTTATAATTAAAATAAAAGTAATTAGTATAAGTGCAAATCCCATAATACAGGAAGAAGGGTTAACCAACATTATTATGAGACTAACCAAGACAAAGGAAAAAGATAGAAGAATAAAAGATATTACAAGAAAAGACAAAAAAAGTAAAAAGAGATGAAGAAATTAACAGACTAGTAAAAAAGAAATTAAATAAGTAAGAAGAAGAACAAGGAGAAATATATATTGAAAATGGAGAATAAAAGAAGAAATTGAAATAGAAGACGAAAATCAGATATAAATTGAAAAATAAAATAAAGAAATTCAAGACTTAATCGGTAATTCTTTTAAATATCAAATTTCTTTGTATTGTATGTATATTCTTAAATAAAGAATAGAATGTATTATTTCTTATTTATATTCTTCAATTTAGAAATACATTTTTAAATTTAGTTAATCAAAAATGTTACGGTTTACTCATCCTTCTCAACCAATTAAATAAGTTCATGAAAATTAAATCATTAATAATTAAAAAGCGAGAAAATAAACAAAGAAATATGAAATATTAACTCTATTTGATTCGACATAAGGTTCATTTTATAAATTTACTACAAAAAAATCTTCAGTTAAAATGACTTTAACTATTTTTTTAAACGCCTAAAGTAGTTTTTTATAGTTAATTTCTATTTAAACTAATTCTTATTTTTTCAAATTAAAACTTATTGTAAAAATAACAAAGAATCAACCAAAAAAATCAAATAATTATGGTTCACATCTCTCAAGATATCTTGGGTACAAACAGACCTTTCTAATATGGTCTTCTCCAAGTAACCACATAACTAAACGTTCAACTCCAAGACCATAACCTCCATGTGGGCAAGAACCATACTTTCTTTGTTGAGTATACCAATAATATGGATCTGGGTTTAATCCGTTTGCTTTGTAAGCACCCATAAGTTCATCATAATTCCAAATTCTCATTGAACCACCAACAATTTCACCTACACCTGGCATTAAAAGATCAACAGACTCAGTTAAATCTGGATGACCTGGAACTTTAGACATATAAAATGCCTTCATTTTACTTGGGAAATGAATCATGAAAATTGGACATCCAATTTCATCAGTCATTTGTCTTTCTGGTTTTTCAGAAATATCTTCACCATATTCAAATGGTTTATCTTTGTTAAGAATTCCATGATCATTACAATATTTAATAGCATCAGCGTAAGTCATTCTTTTGAATGGTCTAGTTGGTAATTTTAAATGTGGATTCATCTTTCTAATTTTATCACCATGGACAGCCATAACATTATCAATAACAGTACAAACAAGATCTTCAAGATGGTTCAAAAGATCTTCAAATGAAATAAATGGAAGTTCTGCTTCAAGGTGAAGATATTCAGCAAGATGTCTAACGGTTCTTGATTGTTCAGCTCTGTATGATGAAAGCATACAGAATGATTTTCCAAGAGAAGCAATAACAGATTCAAGATATAATTGAGAGGATTGAGTTAAATAAGCTGGCTCATTGAAATATTGAAGTTTAAATAATGTAGAGCCACCTTCACATTGAGTCTTGACAATTGTTGGTGGTTGGATTTCAGTAAAATGATTGTCATGATAATATTTTCTAAAATACCATTGAATTTCAGATCTTAATTGAAGAACTTGTTGAGTATGTTCAGATCTAATTACAATATGTCTATTTTGCATTTTTTGTGGAATAGAAGAGTCTTTATTAATAATATTCTCAAGATCAATTGGTGATTCTCCAACAACTTTCCATTCAGTAACTTGCATTTCAAGATTTAATATATCAGCAATTTCAGGTGGATGATTCTTACCAGCATAGGCATTAAGTCGACCTGTAATTTCAAGTGAACATTCACGAGTTAATAACTTAACTTTTTCTGGTTCACAAAGCTCTTTGCCAAAAATAACACATTGACAATATCCAGAACCATCTCTTAATTCAACAAAAATAAGAGTCTTACGAGCCTTACGAATGTGATATGCCCATCCTTTGAAAGTTACAAGTTTACCTTCAAGTCCGGCAGCATCACGAATATTACAAACAATTGGTGTTTCAACAGGTGTAGTAGTAGCTTCAGTCATTTATTGATTAATTATTATTCTTATTCTAACCCTTTTATAGGGTTTCTATTTAATCATTTAAAAAACTAAATACTACTGTATCAAAAAATTTTTATTTAATCTTTCTGGTTTGTTTCGTGGTGTAAATTCATGTCTACGTCTTTGAAAAAGGGTTTTTTTATTACTTCATCTTATCTCATTCTTTCGGGAATTTTTTAATAAGGGTTTTACTCTTAATGATTCAATTTTCCTTTATTCATAAAATTCATGATAAATATCGTTGTATTAATACAGTAAATTTGGTCAATAACTACAAATAACAAACTTAAGAAAAGGAAATATCTAATTTAATGAATATTATCAATTAAGTAATAAATCACTCATTCAAATATTCTTTTTAGAAAATGTAATATATGACAATAAAATTATATACCAAAAATTTTAGTTTGGTGGTTTGATAAAATAAAGAAAATGAAACTTGTCAGTTCTTTTGAAATTCGAACTTCAAAAAAAAGTCAACTTATAAATTTTAATTCTTTGTGAATAAAAAAGAAAGAAAATGAAATGGATTTATATGGTAAGTTATTTATTATTTTTCAGTATTATTATTTCTGGGATAACAGTATTTAATATTAAACCAGAGTCATCAAATTTTTTAATTTTATTATTCTTTCCTTCAATTTTATCACTGTTAATTCCTTATATTCATCGACCCTTTAAGTTGCCAGAACAATCTTCATCAATGTCTCCTAGAATTGCTTATTCTTTGATTCAATCTTTAAAAACTAAAATTCTTCCTAAACAAGACTTTATTCGCCTCACTCAATGGGCTACTAGGACCATGAAAATAAGACCATCATTAGTTTATATTCCTACACGTCTTCCAACTACTGTAATAGGAGATGTTCATGGTCAATATGAAGAAATTGTACAAGTATTTTCACAAGGAATAAATAATCGTCAATATTTATTTAATGGAGATTATGTTGATCGAGGTAAACAAGGAATTGAAGTTATTACTGCATTAATGGGAGCACTTTGTTCTTCACCAGAAACAATATTTCTTGCTCGTGGTAATCATGAAGATCCTGAATTACATTGGATGTATGGATTTAAAAATGAATGTTTAGGTAAATATGATACTGAAACATATCAGGTTATTTGTGAATTTTTCAAATCACTTCCTTATGCACATGTAATAGGCACTTCTGTTTTTGTTGTTCATGGAGGTATTCCACCACAACCAATTACATTGAATGATATAAATAATTTACCTCGAGGAAATATTTTTATGCAAGATGCTAATGTACCTGAATTAGCAGCGAATTTACTTTGGTCAGATCCACAAAATAATGAAGGTGCTTGTAATTCTATTCGTGGTATTGGATGTAAATTTGGTCCAGATATTGTTAATCGTTTCTTAAGTGATAATAATTTATCATTAATTATAAGAAGTCATGAAGTTAAAACTCAAGGATTTGAATATACAGAAAACCATAAAGTTCTTACCATATTTAGTGCTAGTCATTATGGAGGTGGAAGAAATAATGCAGCCGTTGCACAAGTTATGTTTACCTCTAACTTTAGATCACCAAAAGTTGATATTGTTGTATTAGGTCATGGAGTATTACCAGTAAATTCAGAAACACCTCATCAAGTAATACTAGCAATATTAGCAATTATTTTTATTGTTCTTGTTGATTATTTAATGGTGATGCTTTCATAAATTCATTTTTAAATATTGAGTATTTGCGTTATGATTTTATTTTCAAATCTCCCAAAAATATTTTTCTCTTTTGTTTTTAACTGCAAACAATAAACTATAATTTATAGTAAATTATTACTATAAATATAATAAAACATTTATTTTTTCCAAAAATTAAACTCGAAATTTCTAAAGTTAAGCCAATGAGCACAAATCCACCTCCTAATGGCTCTATCTCTAGTGGCCCTCAACAAAATACTCCTATTCCTGAAAGGAATGTTCAAGGACAACCTCTCTATCAATCTTATCAAGCACCTACACAACCTCCTCAATATCAAAGTTATGGACAGTCACAATATTCAGGAGCACCTCCAATGTTTCAAAGTCATGGAAATTATCCATCATATCAATCACAACCATCTTTAGGAATTCAACAAAGAGTAGCATCACAACAGAATGTTTATGATATTTCTTATATTCAATCAAATATTGAACAATATTTACAATTTTATTATACAGACGACGAAATTGTAAGAGAATTAGAAAAGAAATCAGTTCAACGTGAAACAACATTATACATTCTTACTAAACTCAAAGAACAAAATCCTGGTTATTTTAAAGCCTATGAATTTAGACTGGCTTTAAAAGGTCAAATCTCTCGTTATAATGAAATCATACAACTATATCTTGCTACCTCAGCACAACAAGAACAAATCCCAATTCAACCACAACAACCTATAACTCAACAATATCCAAAAGATGTATATTCTGACTACAATGGTGGAAGTTACATTTCTGGTCCTTATGGAGGTGATCAATCAGTTGGTATGTAAAATTTAATTTTTCATATTTGAATTATTCTTTTTTTTTTTAGGAAAAAAAACTAAAACCCTTTATTTTGTTTTTCTTTTATCTTCTTCATTTTAATTATAGTTTATTATAATTATTTATTACCAAAGAAAAAAGTTGTTGTCTCGTTGTCTCTTTAAAAGAACTTCATTATTCCTATTTCATCATCAAAAACAATGTTCAGTTTCAAATTTGACCAATCCTCTCAACAACAACAAAACACAAACAATTTATTTAATGGTTTTGGTTCTGCACCAACTATTACTAAAACACAATCTTCAGACACATTACACCCTTTTCAAAATCCTTTTGTTTTTCCTATGAAAAGTTCAAGTATTATTAGTGGTGATAATGCAATTAAAGAAAAAGAACAAGCCCAAACAAAAGAGTTACATACTGAAATAAAACCAAAAACTAAATTAACGAATTATGAACCTGAAGATGGTCAATTTATAGACTGTGATGACGATGATGATGACTGTAGTAGTATTTCAATGAATGATGATAGTTCTACATCAGCAAGTGAAATAGAAATAGGAGAAAAGAAAAAAGAAGATAATGTTAACAACGTTAGCATTGACCAATTAATGAAAACTAGTATAAGTCCTGTTGGACTTCAATTTAACCCTGGACAAACCAATGACTTTAAACCAGAATTCCAAATAGCACCACGAAACTTTTCAGAACAAAGTATTGAAAAACCAACCAATGACCAACAAACAAATGGTTTTGCTTTTACTTTTCAACAAGAATGTAAAACGAATACAATTTCTTCCCAACAACAAAATTCATTCCTTTTACAAACTAATGGAAATCTTTCTAATCAACACCAATCAGCTCCATTTGGATTTGTCCAACCAACAACTCAATTCACTTTTTCAAATATAAATTTAATGACAAGTAATGACAAAAGGAAAGAAAAGATAGACAAAATAGTAGACAATTACCTTGGAAAAAAAATAACACCATTTGATGAAGAAAAAGATAAAGAAATTATTCAGAAGCTAAGAGAAAAGAATGTCTCATTAATTATTGAGCCAGACTTTATTAAAGTTGTAGGAGAAAAATACTACAATATGATAAAAAATGTTAATACTCTTGATGAGTTAAATGCCATTATTAAACCAATGGTAGAAAGTCTTGGTGCTCAATGGGAAGAATTTATTTCTTTATTTAAATATAGTACACCAGAAGATTTATTTGATCATCTTATACAATCAATGAATTAAACAACCTCAATTAGAGTGTTATTAATTGAACGAAAGAATAAAATTTGTTTTAAAAAAATTAATAGAAAATAGAATTTTTATAACAAAAAAAAGAACTTTAAAAAATAAAACATGAATGTTCAAATTTATAGTGTCATTATTATCAATAAAACAGGTACTCTTCAATGGATGAGAGATTTTAGTGAAAAACCAACTAAAAGAACTGAAAATGATCCATTATATTTAGCATCATCTTTTCATGGATTTAGTGTAGTTGCAAGTCAGATAAATCCATTATTAAAAGAGAGTGATGGAATTCAAAAAATACAAACAAGTAATTTTTCATTACAATGTTTACATACACAAACTGGAGTTGAGTTTTTAGTTATAGCTTCACCTCAATCAGCACCAGTTCTTGGAGAATTTTTATCACAATTATATATTCTTTATACAGATTACGTATTAAAAAATCCATTTATTATTTCAGAAATGATTATTAAATCAAAGAAATTTGAAACTAAAGTCAGAGAATTAGTAACTTCATTAAAAGGAACTTCACAATAATAATTCATATTTTTGTTTTAAATAACAGAATAATATTGTGTTATTCTTTTTCAAAAGAAAATAAAAAAGAATTTTCTAATAAAGAAAAAAATGAAGAACTAGAAATAGACTTAATGCTTTCTCAAAGAGTTAAACCGAGTACAAATAATGTGTTTCATTTCTTTGAATATAGACAATTAGAACAGTTTCAAAATGGAAGATTTGATGGAATTATTAATTTTGGAGATGACAAACTTGCTATTAAAGTAAATCATAATTCATATTCAACTATTAGAATAGAAACCACAAGTACATACTTATATATTCCTGTTTCATTTGAAAGTGTTTATGGTAAAATTGAAGAATATTGTTACCTTTCTCCTGGTCATATTATTTCTGTTGAAACACAAAATAATGATCCATACACGAATAAATTAGTGATTTATTGGGACGTTGAACGAAATGGAAAAAGTGAAATAATTGATGTTGGAAATAAAATTATTTCTATTGCAGCTCATGATGGTAGAATTGCTGTAAGTGTTGAAAATGTTGGGATATTATTATATGAAATAACAGATATTGTAAAATTAATTGCTAAAATTCAATGTAAAGGGGGCATAATTAAAATTCATAGAGATTACATTATCAATTATGTTGATCATATTGTTACAATAATGGATATTAGAATTGTTAGTAGAACAGAATTCTTCGATAATCTTGGAGATCCTATTATTCCTGATACCAAATATAGATGGAATGCTGTTGATATAGACGTTGAAGTATATGGTGAAAAACATATTACTCATGCTATGACATTAATGCAAGAACGTATGATTGGACTTGATACTACTGTATTTATTCCACAAAGAATAGAAGAAAAAGAAGAAGGGGTTAGAGTTGTTCTTGGTTCACAAAACAAACTTGAAGTTTACTATATTTCATATAATAATTCTGATTTAAAGATTACAATGATTTCATCATATAATTTTACACAAACAAAAGATGATAATAAAGGGAAAATAGTTGCTACTCCATGTCATGTTTTAAGACTTCATCAAGAAAATGGAATGAGTGCTATTGATATTTATCCACTTAGGAAATATTTTTCTAATCAATTTGAAGCAGATATGGGAAAAATTAATGAGTTTAGAGTTGGAGATTCTACTACTGATCTTCCTTGTATGTCTAAGATTAATCTCCCAGGTATAACTGATTTAGTTGTTGTAAATCATAAAGTAGTTGTTGTGAGAAGTATTGGACCAGAAAGAAATAGTGTTACAGATCAATCTTTCAATGAAGTGTTTATATTAGAGCCATTAGTTGTTCGTTTATGTCAAGAAATTAAAAATGATATGCAAAGAACAATAGCTCAATTAAAAAAGAACCAAGACACTTGTGCAATTCAAATTGCTATTTCTTATAAAACATATTACGAATTAAGTGTTATTCTTGAAGCATATATTAGTGATATACATCATTTTATTAGAAGGAAAAACAATAATTGGACTGATTTGTATTGGAGAGATGTTATGAGTGATGAGGCTATAGTTGTTAAAGATACATTAAAACAATTATATTCTATTATTGCAGAAGAATTATTAGATTCTAAGAAGGGAGAATTAGCAGCATATTATTTCTCTAAAGCAAATACATCATTTAGTCATGTTGTTGATAGGTTTATTATTTGTGAAGTAAAGAGTTGTATTAATCTTTATTTTGATGAAATATTTTTTAAGTCAAATAAAGAAATAGGAGCAACATTAATGGCAACAGAATATGACAAAGTTTTTAGATTACTTGAAAGTGATACTGAGAAATTTATTGAAATAGCCATTCAACCAGCATTTCAAGATCATGCTAAAGAATTAAATTCATTACTTGAATTAGGAAAACAAAGACAAAAAATAAAAGGAATTATTTCCCAAAAAAGAAAAGGAACTAAAGAACAAGAAGCTGCTTATTATCTTGAAACATGTTGTGTTTATGCAGAGTATATATTAATGTTACATGAACAACCTCAAGAAGCAAGTAAAATAGATATCTTTAAAGAATTAAATACTCGAGGAAGTAAGTCATATGAATATGATGTTATTAATAAATATAAATCTATTTTATTTGATACAAGAGGAGGAAAAGTAATCAAACAACCAATTGTTAATGTGATTGAAAATAATAGACCATTATTATTTATTGCATTAATGGAATCAGATATTGAATTATCACAAAAATATATTGACTCTCAACCTACTTGTGAAGTAATAAAACTAGCTGCTTATGAACATTTATATAAAGAAAACAAAAGTTATGGAAGCCAATTATTAGAAATGTATTTAAAGTTAATTAATTCAACTTTGGAATACCCAATGCATGAAACATTAGACAAAAAATATAAAGTGATTTTTGAACGTAGTTTAAATGAAACTAATTGTCAAGTACCAGAATGGATTCCAAAAGAATTATTAACAAATATTTTTATAAAAAAAATTATTTCTTTATTAACTCAAGAACATCAACTCCAATGCAACCTTAATTCTATTAATCCTCAACTTCAATTTATTGAACATTATGCTGTTAGGAAAATTAGTTGTGGTGAATTTATTAACTTCCTTCATTTACATTATAAAAGTGTAATTCTTGGATATATAAGAGAGTTATTTAATGACCAACAAGCATTAGAAAAAATTGCAGTTGAAGCATTAACCTATGAAGACGATTTGAGAGATACAATCTTCGATTTAATTTCAACTCATTTATCTATAAAATCTTTTTGTTCTATTGCAGCTCATGCTCCAACAATAGACTTATCTCCATTCCTCCGTAAATGTATTGGAAACTCATTTTATAATAAACACCTCATTGACCTTTGCGATGCTTTTCCAAAAGAATAATCTATTTCTTCTTGATTTTTAATTAATTCATTAAAAGGTTTAAAAGAATTAGAAATTATAAAAATATTAATTTATTTTCTTTTTATTATTATTTTAATGGGTATATGGAACATTGGCATTTCTTTTTTTTCTTTAATTTTGTTAATGATTCATTCAAGATCTTAAAAATTAGTCATTGATTCACGCTTGCCAATGAAGAATGTTTTACGACCAATAGCACAACACTTATTCAAGCAAACGTTTGTCTTAAACTCATTTTAAGTATTGTATTTTTACCATCCAGTGAAATCACTGTTGAAACTGATGAAGTAAATGAATATATGTTTGAAGAGGACAGTGTATTTTCAGAAGGGTTTGATGAGGTTAGTTATACATCCCAATTGTCTGATATTGAATGGGATAGAATTTGTGATGATATTGTTATTCCTCCACGTGACTCAAACCCAATCAAATTAGTTCTTTCAGCACCAAGCCATGTGTTTGATGAATGTAACGAAACTAATCAAAAAATAATGGATTTTAATCTCCATGATGATGTTTTTGAAATAACTTCAAATGGATTTTTCTTAATCTAAATTTGTCTCAGAAATAAAAAAGGAAGAAAGACTTAATTGAATAACGTCCCTTTTTAAAAAATACTTATTTTCAATAAAAGAATAATACAAGACTATCCCTATTCCTTGTTTATAAATTAAAAAATGAAACAGTATTTGAAATAAAAAAGAATTTCATTTGATTTATGGGAAAACTTTGAAGTCAGTTGTACATTGAATTGATGTATCAACATTATCCAATTTAATTTCATTAATTTTCATACCAGAATATGTTTGGTCAACATCAAAGTCAATTTTGACTGGAAACATATCATCTGTTCTTAGACTATTATCGTTCAACGTAAATTCCATAGCTCCAGTACTTCCATTTTCTACATTTCCAATTATCCATACAAGTCCATCTTCCATATTGTATGTTCCTTCACAACTATCAACAATAACATTTTCTTTAACAGGAACAATAATACGAAGGTTATTTAATTGTTTTTTAGTTTCATATGAAATTGTCATGCTAAGGTGGTTCTCTTCTTCTGATGGCCAACAAGTGACACTAATTGGTAAAGACTCATTGTCTGTAGAAGTGTAACTCCATTTGATAAGAAGAGATGGTGTTGATCCAATGGCATATCCTTTAGCATTGGCTTTTGGAATTAATATATGATCTTTATTAAAAGCGGTAGTATCCATTTGAGGATGTAATTGTGTTTTTAATGGTAATTCATATTGATTAATATTAATAGGAGTATGTGTTAAAGAAGCATCAGCAACAGAAACACTTAATGAACCAGATAAGCTTAATGAACAGGTAGAATTTTCAGAGTACATTGAACATGAAACATTTTCGATTAATTTAACAATCATATTTTCGGTCATTAATTTCTTTTCTTGAATTGGTTGTTGTTTTTGTTCTTCTTCTTGTTGATTATCAGAACCATCTTCAATATCTTCATTATTAAGAATTTTTTTTTCGTCCTCGTCAAATAAAATTTTCTTTTGTTTACCAAGAGTAATACCTCCTTTCTTCATTTTGATTGTTTCTTTCTTTTTCTGTTTTTCAATACGTCTTTTTTCTTCCTCTTCTTCTTGCATTTTAATCATTTGTTCTTGTTGAATTCGTTGAATTTCTTGATACTTTTCATCGATAGCTTTTTGTTCTTTTCCTTTTTGTTTTTCCAATTTTTCTCTTGACTTTTTTTCTGCTGATAATTCTGAAGCTTTTTGTTGAGCAAGTTTTTTAGCATCACTTTTCTTTTGTTTAAGTTCAAGGAAATAAAGTTCTTCTTCTTGACTTTGCATAACTAAGTTTTGTTCAACATCAGACGAAGTTAATTTTTCACATGTTCCATCAAAGTTACAAAATTCAGAAATGACATCAGTAATCACAAAAACATCTGAACATATTTTTGCTTCTGTTATACCATCAAGTCGTTGTGATAATACAGAAACAATACATTGAAGAATTTGAGTATCTTCAACAATATTAGAATTAATTGAAGTAATTAATACAACATAAATATCATCTACAGGTTGATATATATATTTAATTTTTTCTAATTGAATAAAAGTAACTTGACTACCTTTTTCTAATCTTGAGAATTGAGCAAGTATTGATGAAAAATTCTTTAATTTATAATTTTGTATTGCTGTTAAAATATTACCTCCACGTGATATTAATGCGATTGAGTAAATAGTCTAATTGTTAGTAGATATAATTAAAATAAAACAATTTAATGGTGATGAATCAAACCATAGTTCTTTTCTTTTTTTAGTTCTTTTCTTTTTTTTTTTAATGAAAGGAGAGATTTGAGTTAATTAAAACAAATTAATAACAAATTATATTCTTTTTTGCAAAAATTAATTTGAAAAACATAAAAAATGTAAAACAAAGATAATAATTTAAAACTGAATATTATTTTTATTAATCTTCTGTTCATGATTCATGAAATTATATTCTTCTTCTTAGTTGGGTATACGATGTGCCAAAATATTAATATATCAGTTTGTGGAGATGGAATTGTCGATGTGTTTGATGAAGAATGTGATTCTACAGAACAT